AGGCGGGCGATTCCCTTGGCGAGGACTTGTCGCATCGTGCGAATGTAGCCCACGTCCTGCGTCTTGAGCAGCCGCACCGTCTCCAAGGACAAGGACTTGTTGCCGCGGTCGCCCTCGACGGTGCCATCCCAGCTCTTTCCGTTCTTGATCCGCGACCCAGGTCCCTTGCGAGACATCATGCCAAAGTAGAATTCATCTTCGTTGCGCTCGGCGGCTTTTTGTCGCAGCGCCTTGAGCTGCTTCTTCTTCTTGCCAAAGTCTTGGGCTCGGAGAGAATAGTCCTATTTTTTTGTTTCATGATTGTTATTATCATCATGTGTTTCTGTTCGGGACATGTTGCGAACCTTGTGCTTCTCCAGCAGACCTAGACGACGTCGCTCGAGCGGCTGGGCACGCTCACGGTGCGGCCGCCGGGCGACGGCATTTCGCATGGACGACATGATGCTCTTCGATTTTTGCTTTCTGTCGTTGAGAGTTGTCTCGTTGAGAGTGTGGAGCAGTTTGTGTTGGTGACGAGGAAGCCGTGGCTGCCCAGGCAGAATTTCTCGAGATTTCTTGGCGGTGAGGCGAGCAGAGTGTGTGTGGCAGGCTGGCCACTGTGCTAGTGGCACTGTGGCAGCACTGGCAGGAAGAAGTGTGGGGGCCCGGTTCCCGCGGGGATCTAACCAAAATTGGTTCGTCAGCAAATGTGACTTGAACAATCATGGCAGATGGCGAGGCTAACCTGGACTGTCGCCAACACACGTCTATAGTTTACAGATGGGAAGACATCAAGCGTCCGGGGAAACAATGCCAGCCTCCGTGCAAAGCTCCACCGGTTCAGAACAACACACCAAACGCTTTCTTTCAAAAAGCTCACGTCCTATGAAACACACACACAGCGTCATGACATGATTCCTTCCACCCGTGAGCCCATCCCCGTCATCTGGAACACGCGGCCTCCCCCTCACTGCGCAATGCTCTCCCTCAAACCCTTCGTCCTCAGCGTAAAGCCAGGATCCTCCCCAAAGGGCAGGCCAATGCCACTGTCTTCCCCCCAGCCATCCGCCTTCATCATAGCACTCCTCAGCGCATCCCCATGCCGGTTCATCGTCTCGCTGTCGACGCTGGCCCGACGACTCCCCGTCGTGCTACTGCCGCTCTCGGCATCAGGCCGCGACGTAGACCGCGACGCAGGCACACGACCCTTGAGTTTCCCAGCCCACAGGCCGCGCACGCCGCCCTTTTTGCGCTCCGGCATCTCGTCTGTGCCTGCGCTGCACACGTAGAGGAGGTACTTGAGGTTGGGGAGCGAGTGGCGAATGTCGACGACCTTGAGGCCCTCGGACGCGCAGAGGGCCTCGATGTTCTTGTTGAGGAGGAACCAGCCGTATTCGAAGCGCCATTGGCTGATTGTTGAGCCGCCGCGAGGTAGGTAGAGGGGAAATACGCGCCGCTGGCGCTGCATGTCTGGGATGTGGGATATGCCGTCGCGGGCGTAGGATCGGGAGCCGTATGCTGACAGAGGGTACGGAAGGGGATGGGACAGGTAGAACTGCAGGTGGCGGGTGAGCATGGCGACGAGGCCCAATGCCGCGGAGAGGACATCCTCGTTGATCACCTTGGCGGTGGCGGCATCGTAGTGTGAGTTCGGCAGGGGGAGACTACATATTTGAAAGGACAACGGTGGTGCGTCTGGAATAGGCGTGATGGGGAACACGTCACATAGCTCAGAGCAGATGCGTCGCCTCTGGCCACGAATCCGCTGCTCCGTCTGCCGCACCAGCTCGGCAGACGCGGCCAGCTTCTCGGCATTGTTCTGGATATCCTCATCCGCAAGGGCCTGAGCCTGTCTGCCCTGGGCGACAGCCTCGCGCCTGCTTCGGAGGGACTCTTGCAGGTCATGGCGTCTCTTCTCGGCTGCTCTGTTGGCCCGCCGTTGCAAAGACACATACTTCTCTGTCAGAGCAGTTGCTTCGTCGGCAGCGGGAATCGGATCGGCCGGTGAGCCGTCGAGTATCTCGTTGATTTGCCGCATGATTTTGCGTTGGGTGTCGATGGCGTCTTCAATGGAACTCTCGAGGTTGGCGAGCTTCATGAGGGCCTTGTATGAAGATGACGCGACCAGGGGAGCTGGCTTTGGGTCTGCCGTTCTCGGTGGGAAGTCGAGCGAGTACAAGCCATCTTGGAGATGGAAAACAAGGGCATTGGGCGGGAATTGACGGCCCATCAGACTTCCAATAAAGTTGAGTCGTCGCAGGTCGATCAGCTCCTCAAGTAAAAAGACCCACGATTCTTGGCGCGGGCGTTTGCACCAGACGCGAATGGTGAGGATGCATGCTCGCAAAACGCACGTGTGCTGAGACGAGAGATCGAAGAACCGAAAGTCAAAGTTCTGTCATTGGGTGAGTGTTTTTGTTGACGCGGACGAAGGGGGGGAGAAGGACGCACTGCCGATCGGTTGCGGACTTCGCTGACATAGACGGGCTCGTCGCGGTCGGCCACGTGCAGCGAGAAGAAGACGTCGGCGACGGAGCTCTCCACGGTGGACTCGAGATGCTTCTGCCTCGTTATGGGACTGGCATGGGCGAGGCTCAGGCTGCTTCGCCGTGTCTGGGCTCTTGGCCTCCTCTTGTCCGCGCCGAGGCTGTCCAGGCGCAGGCTCTCCGAGGACCGCGAGGCCGGAAGGTGGCCTGTTTCGCGAAGCTTGCCGAGCTTGTTGGGGCTTCTGCTGGGGGCGGCGTCGTCCGACGTGTCCGAGTTCGCGGGGCCAAACGACAGGTTCCGCAGAGACAGCCCCCTCAGATGGCGAAGCTTGCGGTTCTGATGAAGCAGACGCGGTCGGCGGGGCTCGGAGAGCGTGGACATGACGCATGCATGGCTGCTGCGGACGGGTTGCGGTGAAGCTGTGGTCGAGACAGGGCAGAACGGCACGGCCAGGATGAAGTCTCCTCGAAGGACGTGCTTGGTGATTTTGACGCTGACGATTGAGCATGGAAGGTACCTGGGTACTTGGGCACTCGGGTACTCGACCCCACAAGCAGTCCCCCACAAGCCGTTCTATTGGCATTTCGCCACTGCGCAGCACACAAAACATGGCACATGGAGCACACGAACTTGCTTTCCAAGTTGTCGATATCCAAAGTACTTAGGTTCTAGGTAGGTACCTAGGTAGTAGTCGTTGGTGAGAGTCGCAGTCTTGCTGATGACACCACACAATCTAACCATCCGGCATGGTCTTTGCTCCCGTCGTCCCCTTTCTTCGGGACTCTTAGACAAGGGCGGATTTTCTAAAAGCTCATGTGCAGCAGCATCCTTGAAGTTTCCGTCCATGAGCGTGAAAGATTCCGTTGCGGATTTCAGTGGCGAGAATATAAACCAGCTCCGTGATGATTGCAAGCGCCTGTTCTCGAGACCGTTGAGGGCCAAGTCCCATGCCGCACGATGGCCGGCGTAAGAAGGCCCCAGGCAGGCTTTTCTGCGCATGTCCAAGTCCCTTTGCAACAGCTTTGTGTCGAGAGAACTTGGACGCATGAGAAGGGGCCGTGGCTATCGGCGTGCCTATTCTCACAGTGTCTGGCATGAGCAAAGAATAGGTCTGCGGTTCCGAAAAGTTGGCTCTATACCATGCTCGCCCCTGATCATGACGAAACTGTGATGATGCTGGAGAGACGTTTACAAGGAAAGCAAGCGGTTGCCCAATTTGAGAAAACCCCCAACTGGGAGAATCCGTAACGTATGAAGCGCCTATGCATCAATGCGTCCGACTAGCCCTCGCGTCACCAATGGGATCTCAGGATTAGGCAGCCGGCAATGCAATCGTTGAGGTCAAAGGCCGGAGTAAATCGACGCCCACATGGCCGCCAGCTGCGAGGGAAGCGACAATATTGTGGCTTTCGTGAATGGGCCTACGTCGATCATACCAGAGCTCAGAGTCCAGGAGATGCAGCTACGTCTACTTCCAAAGCCCCAATGAAAGATTTCCCTGTGGTCCTGCTCCTACGCTTGTCTCCGAGAGCCCGAGCCCCAAGTGATCGATCAGACGGTGCCACACAGCATCGCCATCATTTATGAGAAATGCTCCGGTGTGCCTGTATGTCTTTGATTCGGAGACATAAAATCCACGAACGGGAAAGCTCATGTCGGGGGCAACCAATGCCGGACCACGGGAGACAGGGATTTGGTCATATGAGGCGCCATCATGTTGTGTGACTCAAGAAAAGCCTAGTTTGCTGCGCAATGTGCCAGTAGAAACCATAGCGGGCAAATCGTTTGGACTCCTGAGCTGAGCGACAAAAGAGGGCTTTCTCCGACATCCTACCACAGTCAGCGAGTTACGGACACTATGATGCAGTCTCGCCGACGGTCCGAACGTCCCACCTTGATTTGAGTCATTCATCTTTGTTGATGTTGTTTTTTTTTTGTTTCTTTTCGGTTGCCGGCTGGCCAGATCCAAGTTTCTCACCGAGGTCGGCCGTCATCGAAAGCTCATTGAAGGCGTCAGAGGGCGTGGATGGGATGAGGCGCCAGATAATCCCAGCTGCGCCTCTGCGGTGACCAGCGTGGGAACACTCGGAGAGTCGGAGAGGAGGAGCGCCATCAGCTGGCTCACTACAGCTTTGCTGCTTGCAACAGCTGATTTTTCTGGCCTTGTGGTATGAGAAGCAAGCAGTGTGACCTGGGCGCTAAATGCCCTTGACGGGAGACGCCACTGTTTGGCTGCATCGGCGGGACAGCAGCTGATTTGCGGCGATTCTACCGAAATGTTTTTTTTTTTCCTTCCTTCAGCGCGGGGGCGGTGGGTTGCCGCCATGGAAGTTTGGCCCCCGGGATGGAAAGAAAAAGCAGGTTTTGTGGACAAGCGGGTGGGAGAAACGGAAAAATCAGTACGGATGTGATCGCATGAATAAACGTGGAACCAGATGAACGTCGATCGAGCTCCAATACCAGTCACGTGGTAAGATGTATCAAGAAACTTGATAGCAAATAAGACCGACCTCGTCAGCAATCAATTAAAACGAGGCACTTTGGCCGAGTGGTCTAAGGCGCCGTGTTCAGGTGGTCCTTCACGCATTGTGATAGCATCTATTCGCGGTCTAGTAATAGGCGAGGGTTCGAATCCCTCAGGTGTCATGAACGTCTTTCTTTTTAACCTCGGAACGCAATCTCATTGGGGTGGCCCCTTCCATTTTGGATCCTTCCTTATAGAGCGGCTGTTGTCGTGCATTACGTCGTGGATTCCTTTTTGCTCTTCGCCGATGCTTTCTTTCTTGTTCCCCAGCCATCAAATCCAATCACCCTCTTACCCAAATACAGCCGTCCAAGGATTTGTTCATTTCAATGTCGCACGGAAAATTGTCCGGTTCCCCAGCTCTGGTCCTGGCCGCGGCGATTTGGCAGCACACCAGCAGGTAAAGCCACTCTAATCCATTCTCAAACTCCCTATGGACAAAAGGATGGGCTGACTATTGAAATGCTAGCAGAATTCATTCCCTGCAACTGACTGGCTGTGAATCCCTGCTCTTTAGGCCCGGCAGAGCGCCTCCCGCTATGTCCATGGCGACTGGGGGCCGGGCGTCGATTTGGATGCGTTGGTGCGTATCAGCGCAACGTCCAACGGGAGCTGAAAATGCATGTACATGCCCCATGTGACAAACAATATCTGGCGGATGGGTAGCGGTGGACCAGGGGCTCGCTTCGGCCCTTCAAAACCATATCCAGCAACAGAGACCAATGGCGAGATGAATTCCTTCTAAAGACAATCCGTGTGGCGGTCATGCGAGTCCGTACTTACGTATTGGCACCGCGGCATTCGCATCGTGGGGCGTCACTGCCGTCTTTCAATCTCGGGCTCTCCCAGTACCCTGTCATTGACTCTGCCTATTTCTCGCACTTCTGGCTTCGATCTGCCTCAAGCTGGGCATCGGGCACAAAAAGATGGTGGTCATCAGAGGACTGCTCAAGAAACTTGATCGTGGGCCGGCGAGGCCGGCAGGCCAACCAAGTTGCCTTGACAGTTGGGGGCAGAGACAATGGAACGATACAGGGTGTACAAACTTGACGACATGCATTGACCGCCACACCCTGGTTTCCATCTTTCTCTCTCGTTCCCATGAGCTGCCGTGTAATCAGGTCTTTCTCTGCCGTGCCATTATTCCGGGCCATTCGACGACAAAGGATCGTATGAGAAAGGGACTACGAAAAGAGTGTTTGAAACTCGGCATACTCATCAGGCACAAAAGCAGTACATGATGATGTGCATGTAGGACAAACCCACGCGGAACGACCTTTCCAATCACGGACTATACCAATAACGAGCTTTGTCTCCAGCATGCTGATACACGACAGCACACTACCTCACTGCAGTCCGTTTCTCCGTTCCAGACTCGGCAAAGCCGTCCTGATCAGTACGTCAGATCTTGTTGGAAGTCCGGATGGAAGCGATAGCTGGGGACGTTGATTGTCATGAGTTTGTTTCTCGCCATTTCTTGTCTGATTTCCATACCCTCACCTTGGGCTTCCCTCAGAGGCAAATAAGACTTTGATTGGGCCCCGTGGGAATATCTTGTTTGCTAGGGAGGGAGTGAAATGATTGGCTACTGATTAAGGTTTCTTTTAGCGTTTGCCGTGCCTTTACGGACAAAATATTCACAGAAAGAGAAAAGGAAAGAAACAAGAAATCAAGAAGCAAGAAATTCAGAACACGAGTAAGTCTTGGTTGGACAAAACGTCCGGTATGGAGCAGGGGTTTGGACGAATGGTTCGACGATTTCTGCAGACGCATCGGCCATCTCTCTGTGTTAAGAGAGTACGTGTTCCCCTGACGGGGGTGCGATTGGAAAGGCCAGAGGCTCGTCAAGCCACATACGTCGGATATGCAATGTAAGTTTCTGTTTTGGAAGCAAAGGGAACAACAAGGCGGTGGCAATGCTGGTTCAATGAGGGTCCGTACTGCTGCTGATCGCAGTATCATTTTCGATGTGTCGTAACAACTGGGGTAGGTACCGTATGATTTGATTCAAAATCCTCAGCTGAGGTTGCTCGGTAGCATATAGACGCCATGTACTTTGGCAATGCTGGCCTTGTCACACATGGTATATGCATGAATGGAGAAACATCAAACCTTTCCAGTCGATTCTGGAGGACAACTCGGCACTCGACAAGGTGGCCGTGGGGGGCGTGTCCTTGAGCAAAGTGCCCCCCCTGTGAAAGCCAAGGAATATTTTTTCCAACCCCGGCACGTTCCTGTTATTTCCAAGGAAGGGGGAGCCGAGTAGTAAGACTTGTTTTCCCCAAAGGGCTGCATGCAAGACGGAGATGGTGATGTCCTGGGCATGTACATGACATGGGTCAGCTTGCGAGGGTGACCATGGTCCGGTTGATCATGGGAAATGAACAGAGGCAAAGTGTGTACGGTTCGCTTCTCAGCTGAGGATGCGTCGTCGTATGAGGCTCTTCCAAGGTACGACTTCTACATATAAAAAGGCCTCGATATTCCCACCACGTTCCAACGATTTGACTTCTTCTCACCTCACTCAACAGTCATCCCACACTGTCAACAGTCTTTACTCCTCCTCTTCCACCTCTCGCCTCTTTTTTTTCTAGCACAGAAAAAAAAAACCGCCAAAATGAAGTACGCTGCTGCCATCTTCGCCCTCGTCGCCACCGTCACGGCCGCTCCCACCGGAGGAGAGAACGTCGGCCAGTGCAACAACATCAACCCCCACTATGTCTGCTGTGAAGGCGGCGGCCTGCTCGGCGGTCTTCTCTGCAACATCAACCTCCTGGGCCTGGGTGGCAGCTGCAATGGTGGCTCCTACTGCTGCGAGTCCGAAGCCCCCCAGGTGCGTGATGCCGGTCCTTTTTTTTTTTTTCTGCTCCAGTTCGAACGTGACGTCGTTGGGTTCTATCACTAACGTGTACATTGTTTCCTTACCTGCGTAACAGAGCGGCATCATCAACCTCAACCTGCTGAACTGCGTCAAGCTGCTCTAAATGTGCCCTTCGCCCCTTTTTCTCCTTGGCACCCGCCGAGTTGCCGCGCCCCTCCCCGAGAATCAATGACACATTTCACCCAGGATTGTCAAGCTTGTGCGCGAAGCGGCTCTTCACCTGAGACATGTGACGTGTATGGTCTGTCTCTCGCTTCGTTAATGTCCGGGGTGTACTGGTGGAATGGTAGCAAGGACCGGTTGTGGGACACAGAGTTGGGAGAGGATGATGGATGTACTTTCAATGCATTTCAATACATTCGTTCCTTTTATCATTCCTCCAGCACATCTTGTAAAGGTAGTTGTAGGCCCGAGCCAGAGATCTACAATGCTGAAGGGGTTCCCGTGTGGGCTGAGTACATCATGTAGGTACAGCATCCCCAATGCAGAAAGCACTTCTCTATCAAAATACAAAATACAGAATACATACAACCCTCCCCCCCGGACCACCTTCCCCCCCCCCGGAGACAATCCCCCCCGGAAAGAAAAGGGCTCATTTCTGCGCCATAGCCAAAGCGGACAGACGAAGCAACCATGACAAAATGCTACCAAATAAAACTGTGCAACCTACCAAAGTAAAAATCCATGATACCCAATAGAAATGCATGATACCAAACAAAGATGCATGATGATTTGCTCCTCTAATGCTCTAGTTCAACCCC